CTGGAAGAAGTCAAGCCTTTGGTAATAATTTTATCACTGTAACTAGAGGTGCTATCTTTTCTCATTAAAATAGTCCCACTGGACTATTCACAAAAGCAAAGTTATGGACATGCAAGAGTACTTCCAGCATTTGGGTCTACATTGTCAAAACAAGTCTGTATTTATAGCATATGTATTTTTGTGTTAAATATATTTAGAAACTTGGTTGTAGGCTTTCAAGGTTTCCATTCTGAATGTGTTAAAATGTAGCACAAAGGAGACTTAAAATCATTATTTAAAATGATTTCAGGGTGAAGCAAACCCCTTAGTATTGTGATCAGTAGATAAAGGGCAACAAAGTGGTAGAATGGTGTGCTTTTATACAGAGCAGGAACATTTGTGATACAAATCTCACACGTAGGCATACAATAAAGCAAGTGATTGCATTGAAAAATGCAAATGTGAATTTCAGTAGATTACCAATTTCAGTAATTTCTTGGCTTCAAGGCGCCACCTGTTGAAAATACTGAAAAGTATGCCTGAGTGTTCAGGGTAACTGCTGCATTAGGCAGTGCAATTTCATTGCATGCCTCAGAAGAGTTAGCCCAAAGAAGAGTTTGCGGGGGAAAAAACAAACAGACTCATGTTTAGCCCTTCAGATACCTTTCACTTCCTCATAGTTTCTGATCTCAATTAAAGCAACAGCAAAATGGGGAGGGCGATGGAGTTAGAGTTTCCAGGGTTTCTTCATCACTAAAATGAAGTTGTGTAATAATTTATAAATTCATCTTTTGTAACCTAGAAATGAGAAAAAGATCGTTAACAGCTTGTCATGCTGACATCATACATTGCTCCATGCCAGACACTAAAGCAGAATGTTTGAATAACACATTCCAAAACCGCTGCAAGTGCTTGATTTCCGTCTTTCACTGTGGTCTGTTTTTTTTAGGTCAAATGATCAACTATTTTGGTATTATGTTTCATTGCTACGGACAGGTGCCCCTCTGACCCAGGGGCATTGAAGTCAATGAAACAACTCCCATTTCCTGTGATGGGGGGTGGATAGGTCCAACGGCCCGAACTAATGAAAATAACCTTAGCTGGAAATCAGATATTACCATGCAGTTGAAACAATCGAACATACATGCCATCACCATCAGGACTTAGAAAAAGAAATGAACGGATTAACTGAACAATTTAGGAGGAAACATTTCAAAAAGATCTTAAGAATTAAACCAGGGCATAAAAGCAGAGATGGGTTTCTTTTTCTCTGCAGAAAATTTAGACCCATTGAAAAATACCAAATTAAATTCAAATGATGAAAAATGTCAGCCAATAATAATAATGTTTTGGGTCCTAGCCAAACTATTACTGTTATTTGGGCATTTTGTTTTTCTATTAAAAATTGAAATGGTCTGTGAAAAGCCAGCATTTCGTATGGAAAAATAGTTCGTTCAAATAGCCTGCCTTTCCAGGGAGAAGCAGTTTTGACTGAAATTGTTCGACCAGCCTCAGTGGAAATACTTCATTTCTTCTTGTTGTCCTTCTGTTAATTCTGGTCTGAATTTACTTTGCATTTTGAACACTAACAGGATCCTGTTGCCAAGCCTCAAGCAATGCTCCACTGAAGTCCATGAGACTGCTGCTCAGCATTGGCTCATAGTTGACCCATTTTTCCATTGGACAAGTGTTCTCCATGCCTAGATCCAGATTCAGTGTCTCTCTTTCTACATCCTGTGGTGCTGTAAAACTGTGCTTCATCCAGCAACAGGAGAGCTGAAGCTCAACTGTAGTAGTATTCATTCTTCATTTGGGAGAAAAGTTGATGAAAATGCTCAGAACTGGACTCAGCTCCTGGTGCAAATTAAGGTAGCTTCATGTTTAACACTGCTGTCACAGACTACTAGGAAGCCCTTTCACTCAGACACCTCCTGAACTGGATGCAAAAAGGGCTAATAGAAGAGACATTAAGATGGTAATTGCACTGCCCAAGGAATTTCATAGGCAGGAGAAACCCCTCCTGGTTTGACCTTCCAGTTTTATGGCTGCTTGACTTCAGAGGCCAGCTTGAACAATCATATTCAAGACTATGACTCAGTTTAAATTCAGGAACATCTGGCTTGTGAGTCAGATGCTGATACAATGTGGTATCTTGACTGAACTAAGTGTATTACATATTGGGGCTGAGGGATGGCCCATCAGGCTTCTTCTAGTCCTGTTCTTTTGTATTTAGAGGAAAATGAAAGGGAAGATGCTGCGAGTTTCACTGCTGTTGAAGGATTTGGGGCTACATCACGGCAGGCAGTCAGGAGCCAAGGGTCAATGGATGAATTTTGGTGTTGAGGCTTCCATGTTGGCTGATGGGTCTGTTTCTAGCTGATATCCAGACCCTCCTGCATAGCAAATAGAATAGCTGTGTCGGGCTCTGCTGCCATTATCCCGACTTCTCTGTTGCTCACTGTTGTCATCTCTGACAGATGCACAGCTGCAGCAATCAAGTCAATACTGCCTGAACCAACACCACTGTTCTCTGTGTTTCTTGTGTGTAAATGAAGTTTTCCTGGAGGAGTATTCTGTGTAAGGCAACTGCTTCCTAGCTTTGCTCCTCTTATGTACTGTGCTGTCTTTAAGATGTGATGTTTGCACACAGAGGTGTAGGAGGAGGGAGAAACAATCTGCTTCCCCTGTGCATTAATAGAAGATTCAGCCAGAACATCAGCCCCTGGGTTCCTTGCACAGAAGTCGTGTCTACAGAGATTCTCCGCAGCAGCTTATGCCCCAGTTGAGGACTGCACGCTGCCCTGGGCCCAGAGGCACAGCCCTACCGGCATGGGTGAGAATTCCACGTGTCGACCAAAAACGTGACAGGCCTCCATCTGAAACACAGCTCGCTACCTCTCTCTCAGTTTATACCATCCTGTTTACCTTGTCTTTCATGATCGGAAATAAAAAAAGATGCCACGATGTAAAGTGCTAAATAAGACCGTCGAATCTTGATTCCAGTGCCAGATAAGCTGACGTGTGTTGTCACGTATCTTCCAATCTCTGCTGCTGTGCAAAAAGCAGTACTGAGTTCTAGTAGATATCTACAGCCATATCTACAGCATCTGTTTAGTACCAGTGTTTACTGTCTTTAAACCAAAGCAAACAAACCCCACCAGGTTAGCAGAGGCTGTTTAATGGATTTTGCTTCGTTCTGACCAACTACTGTTATTTTCTGTAGCACTGCATTTTTAGTGGAACAAGACAGAGCAATGCTAGAGACTACTGTTGGCTCCAAGCGCATGGTATTAGTCATAACAGCAGTGGAGTCCTGATTCAGTGCTTAAACCCAAACTGGCTTTGATCTGTCTGTGCACTGACTTCTATTAAAGTCAGTAAAACTTCTGCCTGGAAATCAGGGGTGGCAATATGTGGCTGTCAGGTGGCACTGTTCCTAATTAACAGCCAGCATGCTGGTGATCATATTTGTCCTAGGATTTGGCACATCTGAAAACAAAACTCCATTTATTTGCACCTTTTATATATTTGCTTAAAGGTAAACAAATATTTCAAATCAGCCTTTTCCCAGATTTGTTTGTCCTGAGTACAACATCCTTTCTCAGAGCTTACATGATTTGCTTTGAAAATGTGACTGCCAGAGCATTTTTTTGGCCACTGAAATAAATGGGAGCTTTGCTATTGACATCAAGGGATCCGATTCAGACCATTAGTAATCAGTTCTGCACTAAATGATAGGGGTTAGTTAATTATAACAAATGATTTCTAGAAGGGGCTTAGAAAGATTTGTCTATCAGAGAAACGGCCATGGGAGCTGTACTTATGTGGATTTTGTGGCTTAAAGAGCTGCTATTCCATCCTATCAGAATAGCTCGCCAATGGTACCGCCCGCCTGATGAATGAGATGTACAAATTCTAGCCCTGTTGATCTCGCTCACTCACCTATACAAATCTAGTTACTCAAACTTAGTGCAGAAAGAGGAGAGAGATTTCACCTCAAAGTAGTGATCTTTCATTAAACATAATGGGCTTGATCCTATGCTCTTTAAAGTCAAGGGCAACACTCAGAAGGCAGGGTTGATTTGCACTAAATTTAATTAGTCTATAAAGTTCAAATCTACCCTGCTTTCTGCCTGACTTCAGCCTAATGCAGCTATTTTACAATGTCTCATTTTATTTTATTTAGTCTAGTTTCCCTTTTAAGTTTCTGTTTCTCTTGCAGTAAGCTATCCTGGGCCTTTGCTGGGAAGGGTGACACATAAACCGCATAAATACATTTATTAACTACCTCCAAAACTCATAGGTTGCATCCAGATGAGCACAGCCATGTGGTATGTGGTGCTGCAGACCCATCCACAGAGCCACATACTTCATATTCAGATGTTTCCCGCGCTGCTACCTTCCAGGATGGATTGGTTTGGGGTTTTTTTGACCCCAGGAGATCCTGGGCTCAATAAAATCCACGTAGAAAAAATGTGGGTGGTGCACATGGCTGCAGCACACGCTGCCCAAAACCCAAGCCTGGCCTGCCAAAGCCATACTCCAGCTGCTGGGCAGCCTCCAAGCTGCAGGAGCACCATGGCTGCAGTTTCCCCTGCCCCCAGGACCCCAGGCAAGGCTGCTGGGGACAGCACAGTTGCTGGCCCCAGCCTCCCCTACCCTACCTGGGGCACCTGCTGTGCGCCAGAGGGCATGTGGCACAAGCATTCCCCAGGGACAAGAAGCAGTGGCACAAGGTTTGCTGCTGCTTCTTGTCCCCAGGGGTGACTGTGCTCATCTGTATGCACCCCATGGTCCTTACTGGCTGGGGACAGGACCAACAGGTTTGGGACTATCAGTGCTTTTCACCTGTTTTGAAGAAACAGTTACTTCTGAAAAGGTGTATTGTGTTTGGAATGGAGTGACTGTTTGTCACCTTTATACAATTACTATTAAACAGACAAGCTGGTTAAAATTATTAAAACATTTCAGTTCACTTGATTAAATGTCAGCACAACAAACTTGTGGACCTGGGAAAAAGTATATGCTTTTCACTTTGTAATTCTCACAGTCCACTAAGGTTACATTTTTATTTAAAACATTCATAGTAGAGAATGTAAGACTTGTTACAGAACTAATAGATACATTTTTTTTTAATTGGTTATGTATAACTGCCAACTTTTGAAAAGGCTGTAGCTGAGGGCATATATATCTTTCACATAAGCCACCTTTATACTTCATGTGCATAGACATATTTGATGGGACCCAACAGTATTACATTATGTATAGACTCCTCTTTTTCTTGATGAAACATGTTTTCTTAATGGAACCAGTTCCATAGACTGTACATTCATCCCAACTTCCACACTAAATCATTAAGCAAGTGTGCTGATCAAGGAAAGCACAGAGAGGTCATGGCTTGTGGTAAGGAATTCCAGGGACCTACCTGCTACATCATATCGATTCAAGCCAAAAAGTAAGCCTGCTTTTGGTTTCTAAAAGCAAATGTAACCAAGTGGGCACGGTGACCAGGGCGCTGACTTAGGGAGGGGGCACAAAAATAGCAGTCACTCCTGCTGCTGACCCCAGACATGGCCACCAGCGGGGGCACAGGACTACCCAGTTATGTTTCTATCTAACTAGGAGCTGAACTCTTAAAATTCTGGTTCCAGTGGCAAGTTGTTCTGGAAATCTGACCCACCGTGCTGTCAGTGTAGCTCACTGTTTATCAAACCTTGAGCTTTTCACTATGGATGATAAGACTGAACATATCGGCTTGTGGTGCTTTCATGACCAAAAAGGGATACCTGCTTCTCCATGCAAACTGTGAACTCCAATGACAACAGTTTATTTCAGGACAAAGAGGAACCAAACAAGAGAAATAGGTGATGGGAAAGCAATGGGGATGGGGGACCACAGCCGAGAGAATTAAATAAGACCTGTCTGGCAAGACAGGCTCCTTTTTTCAACAAGCTTCTGCTTCTCCTCACAGGTAACTGAGCAGCCAGCCATTCTCAGAGGTACTGAAATGCAGAAAGAGTCCAACTATTTTTTTAGGTTCTCTCTCATTTATTTATTTTTTCTTTTCAGCAGCAAAGCCAGAAATTGTCAGACTGCGAAGTTCTGTAGTTCATAGAAATTTCCAAGCAGTAGCATCTTAGTAAATGGGAGAGTTTTTTGGGGTAGGTCTGGTAGAGCGGTGGTAAGTATTTCAGTGCACAGTTACAAAAGAATACCATAAAACATCTACATCCACAAGACAGTTTTCTTTGAGAAGGGCAAAGCTGGATGGATGGTCCCAGAGAGTGGAGAGAAAGTCAAGACACAAAAGAATAGAAGGGAAAAAAAGATGGCAGACACGTCTAAGGAACCCTGGGACAGCGTCTGTGCTACACGCGTGCCCTTATGTTTACAGGGTGTAAAATGTGAAGTATTTGCATTCCCACAATTCTTCGCTACGCTTCTATTCCACCTCCTGAAAAACACAGCTGCATCTTATTCGATAGATGTAAGGACACGTTTGGGAACCACTGGTAGTCAGTACAGTGGTAGGAGAAAGGGGTTCCCTGAGAGAAGAAAAGATAGATATGGAGAGTAAAAGAAAAAAACAAAAGTGAGTGATGACTGGCATGGCCTTTTGCCAATCAGGTGAGGATGATTTTGCCAAAAACAGTGTGCTACAGTAATTACTGCTGCTCCTTATTTACTGAAATCAGCACATTGACTGAAAGTTGCTATTGCAGGAAGTGTGGCCATAATGATTGTGTATGTATTTAACAAGGTGGAGCTAAAAAGCAAGAAATGCAGTCTCGTTTCATGCAATCAGAATTTCCAAGCATTTTTCATCATGATGATAAAATAGACATCTGTGTCTATTGAAGCACTGACTCCAGCGTAGTAGTTCATGAATTCATCTGTTGTAACCTGAAGTAGGAGAATTTAAAAAAGAAAAAGAAACCTTCATTCGTTGTGTCATAAATTATACACATGAGCTATATGTAAAGAAACACCAGGAAGTGAACAAGGATAGTTTCATAGTTTCTAGGGTCGGAAGGGACCTGGGCAGATCATCTAGTCCGACCCCCTGCCATGGCAGGGAAGAGGAACGGGGGCAAACGAC